TTGTGTACTTAAACTCTAAAATAAAAAAAGTCAGATTCATTTAAGGTTTATAGTCATATATTACATTTATTGATATTTAAGAAATATAACAAGGACATTCAGTCTTTTCATTTTGCGGAAAAGGACGAGGAGGAGGCGGCACCATATACCCAGAATCATTGTAGGTAGTTGGTTTTAGTTTTCCTGTAAACAATTAAATAAATGAAAATTTATTAGTTAAAATATTTCAATAAAAAAAAAAAACAGCAAATAATTGATTCATTTCATAATGATAGTAGGGCAATTGAATTAAAAATACAGTAATGTAGATATAATTAATTACATATGGAATAATAACAGGTTGTGATAACATATAAACAGAGATAGCTGGTAGTGGCAGGACTAATTTATATTTAAATTATCAATCAAGGTAATTTTATTTTATACACAAGTCAATGAAAATATGTTATCATGTATTTTTTTATTATTTCTTATATTGTTAGTTACGTTAATCTCTTAGTTTTATTTGTTTGTAAATTAACTACTGTCCAATAATTATTCTTATGTATTTATTTTAAACAATAAGAACCGTGCCTCAGCACAAGCTATGCTTATTATAGGGGGTACTACAATTTTTAATTCATATTTCGTTGATAATATATATATATATATATTCTATTGTTGTAATAAATATTATATAAATATAAAAAATAAAATTAAAAAGTAAAAATTACTTTTGCATCCATGTATGTCATTTATGTCTTGCTTTTTTGAAAGACGAGGAGGAGGCAGCACCTTATATCTATCAATAGTATTGTTTTCAGATGGTATTATTTTTCCTGTAAACAATTAAATAAATGAAAATATAGTAGTTGAAAATATTTAAAAAAAAAAAACCAAATTATTTATACTTAAATAATCAATCAAGGTTTATTAAAAAGTAAAAATTACTTTTGCAACTGCAATCTCTATTTTGGAGCTGACTTTGCCATATATTTCATGATTTTTTGTTGACTTTATCCACAAAAAACCACAATCAAAACTTTTATTGTCATCGATGACAATATAAAAAAATGTATCTCTGATACCGCAAGCTCTGATACTTGAATACTGTAAGAAAAAAAATTTGTTTAAGCAAATAAAACGGTTTTAAATTCTTAAGTGGACGTAGTACCCGCACGTGTTATCTCCGTAAGTTAACGTTAAACCTAAATAATATTCCCAAGTCTATGAAGTTATTTTTTTCTTATAGAACGAATTATAACAAATATTATTATGTGCAATGTGCTTTTGTACTTAGAATATTTTGGAAGAAATCATTTTTTGAACATCCAAACCGGTTTTTTTTACAAATATATCATAATTTTACCATCTACTTTTTGAACATAACGCTCTAAAAACTTAAATATTTTTTCCAAGTCTATGATATTATTTTTTCCTGATAAAAGGTAAGTTAACGTTTCAACACAGTAAATTTTTTCATAATAGCAAAATTATAAAAGAATGTAATAAATACCATAAGGTCTATCGATTTTGATTTAGAAGAGTTTTTTCTTTTTTCCTTCATAAAGCTTATTTTATCTTGGTTTAAAGTTTAAACTCATTACAGTCATCTTTAAACATTTACGTTTAGTTCCGAGATCCCTTTTCAGAATACTGATATTGAAGATAGTATGATCTGCAAAAAAAAATATTTTAACATTATCTTACCCTACAAAATAATTAAAATTTATATACATAACTATAATCGCATAAATTATTCAAACTTCCACACATACACACACAACCACCCTTACCCTAAGAAAAAAAATTAATTACCTTGATTTGTATTGGGCGATTCTAAGTCCGTAATTGAATATGGTCGCCTATTAAATAAGTATCGAAAACACATGGTCAATTCGTATTTCGTATGGAGTTCAGTGTTCACACTGCTGAGCGTAAACTGTAAATGCCAAATGAGAGGAAATCGTCAATCGACGATAAAATATAAAATTATTAAGTTAAAATAAATGTTGTTGGGGATTCCCCTATTTCCATTATTTTTGTACATGATAGCCATATGCAAGTTACAAAAATATGTCAATAAAAATATTGTGTCAAATTCACACTGAACTTTGCAGTTTTGATTGCTTCATATTGGTATGCATACGCGTATCGGTAATGGCCCCTCTATATTACTCTGTGTAAAATTGTAAGAATTAAATTTGTCCAAAACTATATAAAAAAATGTATCTGTGAAAATGTATACGTCAGATCACTTTTTTTATATTGTAAATGGACAATTTAGAACACTTCCTATGTGTAGTTAATCCCAGGTCATGACGGTTAAGAAAATATATCTTTTGTCATAGTATTATAAGTTCTTTGATTTAAAAAATAACAAAAATAAAACATTTACCAGAAATTTGCGACGTGGATAAGACGAATAAACACATTAACTTCGGTAAGTAAAGTTAGGTTAATCCCATAGGCGTGCGCACGGGGCGAGCCGGTCAAGCCCAGGCTCGACCTGAAACTTTTTAGGGGCATAGTAAAATGTACGTATATATTTAAATATTTTATTATAATGTTTATATTATAATAATATGTTCGTGGAGATCATGAACATTTTGTTTGTCGTGAAAGTATAAAAAAATCAAAAATATTTGTATGTACCTACCTAACCTAATCACTACATACATTTTATTAATCTAAAAAAAAAAACATTATACCTTTATACAAATATAATTACTATAGACAAGTACTATAGACATTAATAGGTTAATACATCAACATGTATGTTGGTGTGTTAAAAAAAAATTAGGGGCGCTGTCCAAATATTAGGGCACTATAATTGTCTAGGCTCGACCAGAAATTTAAGTCTGCGCACGCCT